TATATAACAGCCTATTTGTATAATTAGATTAGCTTACTCCTTTCAGTAGGTTGTCTATGTGTAGTTTTATACTTGTTTAAACTTTTACTGCAGAGGTTAGCCTACAACATTTCTCTCCACTGTAGGCTATGTCTCAACATATATAGCAGAATGACAATAAATCTTACTTGACCTAACGTAAAAATAAAATTCAAAATTTGGTACACAATATTGTCGCTATCCATAATACATTTGCATTTTAGCATTACAATATATTGTGACACGATATATTGTTATACCCCTGCATTGTTTTGAATGTTGAACAATTGTATCAACATACGTATATATTCTATATCCCGCGATCCAACAGAGGATAAGAGGTATGGAGAAGTATGGAAATGGATCAGTTTTTATAGGGAGAGACTGCCTAGTTAAATGTTTAGCCATGTCACTACTGATTTTTGAACTAATCAATCATGTAAACAAGCACTTATTGTGAATTTCACTGACATTGTAGTACGGTCGCTTTGTTAAAACATCTATATGGTTAATTATAGATATAGTAAGACAGAAACTCACCTGTTCCCCACTCATATTGGTCTGAAAAGGTAAACAGGTGTTTCGGGTCTCGGGAGACAGCGTAAATTGACCGACAGCGCCATTTGCTGTTTTTGGAAAAAAAAATCGCATTTGTGAGAAAATCTGCCTTGACGCATTTGTGAGAAAATCAAGCCAAATTTCCTCATAAAAAGTCAAATGAGTCTCACAGTTGTAACACACAGTACATACAGTATATTTGTCCATACCTCTGCATTTTCTCTCAAATAGAGTTTTGTATTTGCAAATCACTTTGCGTTTGTTTGAAAGTCGAGTTTTTCTTTGCAAAGCAAATTGTGTTTATTTGCAGAACGCTGGATTTGTTTGATGAATATTGGCACAAAATGCGCTCCATAGAGGCGCATCTCAAACAAGCCTCTTGATTCACTTCCTCGCTCTGGCGTCATCATGTCGTTAGTTCCTTGTTATGAACTTCAGCACAGATCAGATCAGACCAGACTGCTGCTGCGTATCAGTCCAGCTCATGCACAACTTCTGTCCGCTCTTTTCCAGCGATTTCACTATAAATACCCGCGGTTCACTCGCGATATTTGGTAAAGGTATTGCTGAATGTGTATGTTCGGTTTGTTGTAATGTGTAATAATGTGTTCTTGTGTATGTACCGTAGTGTGTATATGTTATAATGTTCCCTCGCTGTCTGAACGGTTTCTAGCACAGAATGGCAGTGGACTGGTGGGGCTTCGCCTATGCTGCAGCTCTTGCTCTGGGCGGCTTTATGGGCTATAAAAGAAAAGGTATTTCTTCACTGTGGTGTAAAAGGAACGTGTGCAGATGATAGAAAATTATATTTATTGATCAATTTAAACAAAAAAAATCTAATTTCTAATAGGTTTTAAGCTGAACGGTTTCTAGCACAGAATGGCAGTGGACTGGTGGGGCTTCGCCTATGCTGCAGCTCTTGCTCTGGGCGGCTTTATGGGCTATAAAAGAAAAGGTATTTCTTCACTGTGGTGTAAAAGGAACGTGTGCAGATGATAGAAAATTATATTTATTGATCAATTTAAAAAAAAAATCTAATTTCTAATAGGTTTATAACTCTAAAATGTTCGCTTTTTGTCGACTTTTCATGGTTCTAATAGAGTTTTAAGCATGCACCTTTCACATTTGTATTGTATAGCTAACAAAAAAGTACTATGCTATTACTATATTTTCGAACATGCTACCATGGTAATATAATTGCAAAATCATAATTGATGTACTATGTCTGCAATCTATATTCATCCCATAACATCACTGTACTTTATTGTAAGGGATTGGTGGAGATATTTAATATAATTCCTGACTTCTGCAGGAAGTGTGGTGTCATTAATTGCCGGACTCTTCTTTGGAAGTGTGTCTGCATATGGAGCATATAAAATAACAAATGATCCACACGATTACTGGACCTCTCTGAGTAAGTATACAAATAAAATCACTAATGTCCACCCTTTAGAAATACAGCATATATCAGCTTCAAACTTACTTTTTCATGACTCTAGTCGCCGCCGGTGTTCTGACTGTTGTGATGGGAATGAGGTTCAGGAAATCTGGGAAATTAATGCCTGCAGGAATCATGGCAGGACTGAGGTAAAACTGTAGCTTGGACAATCACAGTTGTAAAATATATAAATTCTTGTGTTAAGATTTATAAAGCTAACAGAGCGAAAGCGTTTTTCAGACTTGATGATATTCAATGTTTATGTATTTGCTCTCCCTGTTGAAAAAACCAGCATATGCTGGTTAGGTATGTTTTGACGCTGGGATGCTGGTTTAAGCTGGTCCTTTGCTGGTTTAAGCTGGTCCTTTGCTGGTTTAAGCTGGTCCTTTGCTGGTTTATGCTGGTCATGTGCTGGTTTAAGCTGGTCCTTTGCTGGTTTATGCTGGTCATGTGCTGGCAGGACCAGCATAAACCAGCAAAGGACCAGCTTAAACCTTCAGAGTAACTTGCCCAAAACTGCCCATTTATCTCGAGATTACATTATGATGTACACATTCAATTACTAAAGTAGCAATGGTAAGTTGTCATGCATACTATTTGCAACTATTTTCATTAAACATCATTATAAAGAAGTTACATGCATAATTGCATCGACGCGTAAAACTTTTCCAGACTTTACGCCACAAACCTGGACTCCAGCTGCAGCCAGCAGCCATCGGACCGACTCCATCTTCCCTCTGCCATTGAAGTAATGCAACACAACTTTCTCGGACAGGTTCACCCACTTCAAAACGCTGTCTTCCTGTAAAAGATAAAGTGTGCAGCAGGGAGTTTTATGTTTTCAGGTGTTGCGTAACTCGTGGGTGGTGCTAAAGTCCAAATGCAGGCTAGTGGGCTTGAGATAAAAAAAAAAACTAAAGCAAGAAACAATGCTGATATCAACAATCCCCACTCGAGGTGTTGAATGACATAATTACACAGTTTCATGGATCACTTTTAAACAGCTCAAGCTTTTCAGACGAGCTTCTGCTGAGTGAATGATGAAAAACAACAGGCAAATTAACCGTGTGCAGAGTCATTATAGACTTTTTTAGATTAAAAATAGCCAAGTCATGACGACAGCCAGCTATGATATGAAATGTGTATCGCAAGCCGTTTTATTATCTATGATCCAAGCGTCACTCTGACTAGTCAAGTAGGCTAATAATCGTGACTCGTCAAAATACAATCGTAAATATCAAGATTACGCAACATATATGTGCACATTATTTAGAAACTAAATAATCTTGGTCCAGTTACCCAGCCAACATTGATATGTGGGCCCCATATGGGTCATGCCTGGGCAGCATGGGTTCCGTGTGGGCATGGGCTGAAAATGGGCAATTTATGTGGGCCCCATGTGTGTTTCACAATGTGGGTCCCTGTTTGAACATATGGGACCTTTATGGGATCTATGTGGGCAAAATTATTTCACACTTAAAATACATCCTTATACCTTTAATTTTTTGGTTAATAGTCACTTTTTAACAAAGAATATAGATTTTATGGTTCTGATCAATATAACTTATATATGTAAGACAATGCATTATTTTCTATTGTGATGTTTCATTTTGTTTGTATTGTCAATATTACAATGTTAGCCTGTTTATGCATTTATCAAAATGTATTTTTTTTTTTTTTTACTGTAGCCTACACATTTATATTTGTTCGTGAGGGATAATACATTGTGATGTCAGTGTTACGTAATGATTTGTCATATAATACGTCAGTGCATGTCCTTTTTGCTTGTTTTGCTTAGCTATAGTTGCTAGCGGTAATTCTGTTCATAGTTTTTAACAATAGAAACGTACTTATATTTTCAACACAGGACCACATGAGTTTTAGCAAAGATGTATTAAATCCAGTTTTATAATTAATAATTAATCATAGGCGTAATTTGCGGGTGGGACTGGTAAAATATGCCCCCACCACTTTTTCAAAGCCGTTGAAAAAAATATAACATGCAGAAGGATTATGAGGCAAAGTAAAAGCATCTCCAATCCGTTTTCAGTGGTTCTTAAGAGGATTCGTGAGTTGACGAAATCAATGGTATTTTGAGCGGTGAGTGCACTTTAATGCCTCTGATTTTGCAAAGAGCCACGATCACAGAAATCGCCACGATTGCTTCACGATGGCAATCTTTCGTCTGGGACAGCCAAAAGTCGTGCAGTGTATCCCGGGCTTTAGAGGATACAGCGTGATTATTACCTAACCAGGTGGTATTCACCCTGCTAGCACATAACAAAAAGTGGACTTTTTTCTATAATCATGAAAACTGAAACTGGTTAAGCCAGTGATAATCAGAAATCAGAAGATCCCTAATTATAAGCCCCCTGCTCCATTCATTGGTAGCCTACTTCAGTATGATCTATCCTGGACGCAGATTTGCGGAAACACCAGACTGCTTTAATCTTGAAATAATGATTTCAGAAGAGATCAGAACAACCAGTGCCTACCTAGGCTAAACACTAAAAAAAACCAAATTATTTTTTCCACAAGCAATTGAATCTCTTTATTGGCTTAACTCTTGGACGGCGTCGGCGTCGGTCTCAAGGTGGTGCGAGTTGTGTGTCCGAGTCCAGGAGTAGCTTATGGAGCATATGTGGAGGAGTGCATACCAATTGTTGTTCAGCCACTTCTGATGGAAAAATAATTTGTTTTCTTAGGAGTGAAATCATTATTTTTTTCGTGAAATCTGAAATTACGTCACGATTCCTTTTTTTTTGTGTGACGATTCATTGTTACTTTCCAAAATGTGCTTGAAGACACAAATACATAATTTATACACACACATAAATTACTGTAGTTATTCTGTTCTGAACATCAAACAACAAATCCTTTGTTTTTCAATCAAATGTATTCTAACTAGTTGGTTGAATAAAAATATTTGGATTTCATATTTAAAAATTACCTCAAGTTAGCATCAGGTAGCTAGTTAGCGAGCAGTTAGCATCAGCTAACAAAATGTTTCAAATAGGCTATTATAATTTTGTAATTCATAATTATTGATTATATTCTTTTAAATTTTAAGCTAAAACTGCCTGCACTCTGATTTTGCAGTAAATGTTTAAAGCACATTGCTTTGTCAGACTGGGGGTATTTTACCCCACCCATGGAGGGTAAAACGCCCCCTTGGCACAAATTTAATTTTTGTTATAAATCTAATAACATGCAAACTCTGGACATTTTTCATACTTTGTTTATAATTTATGTCATTGTCACTAAAACTATGATAACTTTTCGTAATAGCCTACATTTAACTTTTATTTCACAGAAAAAAATTACACAGTCCTTAAGGGGGGCGTTTTCCCCCACTCTACCCTATAATCTGACACTGTAATTCATAAATTGTAGTAGCCTACTAATATTTGAACGTGTGGAGAAAAAATAGCTAGGCCTATTTAGATCATGCGGTGCAGGTCAGGAATTAATAAGGGGAGAACTAAAATGTAAATGTCAAATAATGTTCACTGCTTTATAATAATATTAAAAATAATAATAATAATAATTGTTATTATTATTTACACATTCTATGCATTTCAAATAACTCTTCTCGCTGACTGCGCCGTCTCAGGAGAGCATGAGTTTGCCTGCTGTTCTGCGCCAAAAGTTATTCATCCTTATTTTTGAAATTGCATAAAAAGGTTATTCTATGGCATCGTGAAGCACCTTTATTTTTAAGAGTGTATATAAATAATAGGCTTACTAGGCCTATTATTTTATATGTTTTTCCACCGGAAAAGCCTGCATTTGCCCAGTGCCTACGTAGGCTAAATACTAAAAAAACAAAATTATTTTTTCCACAAGCAATTTAATCTCTTTGTTGGCTTAACTCTAGTGGCTGGACGGCGTCGGTCTCGGTCTCAAGGTGGTGCGAGTTGTGTGACCGAGTCCAGGAGTTCCAAAATGTGCTTGAAGACACAAATACATAATTTATACACACACATAAATTACTGTAGTTATTCTGTTCTGAACATCAAACAACAAATCCTTTGTTTTTCAATCAAATGTATTCTAACTAGTTGGCATTCAAAACAAATATTAAAAAATATATATTAAAATATTAAAGCCTATTCTAATTTTTAACCCATGAAAAAAAGAGAAAAATCTAGCTTAATTTCTGTTCAAATGACCTGAAGGTACATTGACCTGGGAGTAGGCTAAAAGTAACCTATAAAAAAAAAACAAACAACAAAACTCTTTACATCTCATTACATTTATTAATTTACTAGCTACAACACTAGGCCTACTTAATGACACCATAAACTAAAGAAAGTATTAATATGAGGGTAAATAGATTTTAATGCCTTAAAAAATATTACATGTTCAGAATTGCCACCTTAACGGCCAGAATGTGTACATTCTGACCACATTAAGACCACCTTAATGCGGTCAAACTGCGTCTTTACACGTACCAAATAAACTGACAAAACTGACGCCTTAATGCGGCCAAAACCTGCGTGTCTACACGTACAAAAGAAACGCGTGTTGACACGGTCGCATTTCACGCGTTCCGTTTAAAGACTTTTGGCCCCGTCCGCCTTCCATACGTTTGCAACTAGTTTACATGGCAGCAACGCATTGTGGGAAATACCAACTGTTTTAGTTTTAAAAGAGTATAATAAATGAATTAATACACTATTCGCATTCGTGTCGTGTTTCAAACATCTATATTTGATCGTATAAGTTAAATCGGTCCGTTTTCATTAACGCTTTGTAACGGTGGCATTCAGTTTACGTCACTATTACGTACGCCAATGGCAGCGCTGCGCGTGGCAGCAAAGCATTGTGGGAAATACCAACTGTTTACGTTTTAAAATACTATAATAAACGAACGAATACAAAAATCGTATTCGTGTCGTCTTGCACACATCTATATTCGATCGCGTAAGTATAACAAACGCATGAAAGCAGCAAGTGGATGTGAGGTCACCGTCGAAGACAAGCACAGCTGGAGTCCGAGGTATATAAGCTTCATGAGCGGGCGCAGTTTCTCGGATGTGAGGGCGATCTGGTTGCGACATCTGTCACCCCATTGATCGCTAGGGTTGATTCGGCTGATCTGGCTGGCTAGGCGGGTGTCCCCTTCCTCCCTCACCGCTCCATGTGTGTCCCTCCCGAAGCTCCGCGCTCGGTGGAAGAGGACGATTCCCGCGGACCAACGTCGGTATAGAAGTAGCTGCGCTCCCCTGCTAGAACCTCCAAACAAGCTCAAGGCCCATTTGTAGGAGAAACGTAGGGAAGTCGAGCTCCAAGACTTCAGACACATCCAAATGAGGCACTGCATGTGGCAGTCTGCCTTTCTTTTGACATGCACTGCGCTTCGAAAATCTTTACCTAACAGAAAAACTACAGTCTGTGGTACTGAGTAATATTAATTAACTACATGCACTTACTATATGGTTAGGGGTTGGCTTAGCACGTAATTATGCATAGTAGATGTAACATTTGTTACAAGGACACCTTAAAATAAAGTGTTATCAAATACATTTCCGGTCATTTACATCTACATTTACATGAGAGCAAAGAGCAATGATCTGCAAGTGCTATGACAAGTCTCAGTTAGCTTAATGCAGTACATGTAGCCAGTTTTTTTTATTATATAATAAATAAAAAGAAAACAAATACATTGAATACAAAAAGATTAGAGAAGCTAGTGTTAGGTTTTTAAAAAAAAGAAACCAAGCAGTAAATGAAGAGTGCAAGTCTAAAAGGGACAAGTTTTTTTTAAAAGAATAGAATTAGAATAGAGAGTGCTAGAGTTAGAGGGTAATTATTCACAATGTAATAGCACAGTAAGTAACTAAATATGGGTCAACAGTGTTTATCTTATATACATTGAGAAAAGTCAATTTTGTGTTCAAGATAATTACATTAACAGTTTCAAAACAGCAACAGAGTTAATACAGTGTAATCAATTAATGGTAATAACTGAAAAATAGGAAAAGAAAGGCCCATGTTTGTTTTCCGTAGAAACTTTAGTGTCATTGTGTCATCAAACCTTATTTTTGTAATTTATTTTTGCATGATTTGTTGCTCAACCAGTATGCAGTATCAGTAGTTTATTTCCTAAGTTACATTATATTCAAAAGTCCTGTCCTGAACACATCTAAAGGCCAATCTTCCGTTATAATCATAGCGCCACCTGCTGGAAATGACTTGTTTTACACTAGCTTAAACATGCCATGTCCGATCTACACCAAACTTCACATGCTTGGCAAGAGTCCTGGCCTGAACACATGTACATGCCAATATTCAGTAATAATGCCACCTGCTGGCAACAGGATACGTCATGTTTTATACTAACTCACAAATACCATGTTCAATCTGCACCAACCTTCATATGTTAAGTCCTGGCTTGCAGACATCTACATGCCAATATGCAGTTATAGTAATGACTTTGACATAGTCCTCCTATATTTACCACTTTAAATGCACATTGCTCACCGTTCTCTGTTTTCCTAAAGCCACCGGGTGGCGTTGAGCCCGGGTGCGAGGGCCCTTTCAATGCTGCTTGCAGTTTTAATTTGAAATATTTCTTTATTTGTGAAGAATACTGTAATAGGATTACAGAATAAAGTAGTTTTCATCCTGAGTACAAGTATGTTTATTTTACACATTTATCGTTTTCAAATTATTTCAAATTTCTTAAATGTTAATTAGAATAAATAAAAATGATATATCGGCCCCCTGCTCTCTAAGATATCGGCATCGGCTGTTTAAAAACTAATAGCGGTGCACCACTAGAGCGGTGTGTTGGTGTCTGCAGAGCAGCAGAAGTTGTAAACTACACAGGGATCTCTGTCATTTGGTACATTAATATAATATTAAAGGTTAAAATTAACAACTCGGGCAGATGTTCAAATCCAATTGGTATTAGATATAATAATCAACACTCAAAAACAGTTGTATAAGAAACATTTAAATTGTGCATGAGGTAGTTCTTGTATGTAATTATATAATTATGCCTTACTTCTTATTGAAATATAAACATGCAAACCGTGACTGTTATAACTTCTTTTAATGAGAGATTTATTTAAAGATACATTAAACTGGTTAAAAATTTGATGAATACGTAATACAATACGTATTTATCAAAATGCTCCTTTAGAGTGATTTTTTTAGAATGTCTAAAATATTATAGAATGTTCTTTTCTTCATAGAATGTCTTTTCAGAGATAAATGTGACGTTACGATTTAGTGCTAGTACGACACACACATGACCACAGGGAAACACTAGTGTGTCCCAGAATGCATCAGTGAAGAATTTCTCCAAAACATGGTCTGTGTTCTTGCTTAGTGAACTATCGCTGGAATTTACATGAATCAAATCTTCACATGAATCAGAGGATGGCATCTTCAACACTAGCAAGGTCAATCCAAATTGTATTTTGTTAGCCAAACTAGCATGTGGCTTAAACAAGCCTAATCGCCAAACAGTTTTGCCACTGGGATCCATTCCAGAACTCTTCAGCACCCTTCCCATCAGTAAAATGTAAGTAGATAACTTGTACTATGATATTACACTTGATTCTCATAGTATCCCATAACAGTGAGAATGGGCGGGAAGCTGGGGACGTCCATCATGGAGACTGCGAGTGGAAAACATTGGAGATCTCACTCAGTTCAGCAAGATCGAGCTGGAGCAGAACTTCGGAGAGAAGACCGGGTGAGAACCCGAAAAACCTGCCAGTGGAAGATGTGCCTTAGAAAGATTCAGACCTGAAAAATTCATCAAAATCAGTACAATCTTAAAAAGTCATGGAAAGTTCTGTAGTAAATGTATCTCAGGTAGAGTTGCTCATTTCGTCTCTGTTCCTCAGGTCGTGCCTCGACAGCTCCCCAAATCCATTGGCTGCAGTAAGAACTTCCCAGGAAAAACCTGTTTGGCTACAGAACAGCAGGTACATGGTAGGGCTGTCAAAAAAAATTTGCATTTCAAATATTCGTCGAATTGAAAATAAAAATCCACATTTGAATGCAAAAACGTTGCATTCAAATTTTAGAAGTGCGTCAGGCAGCTTTATCAGTGGCACATCGTTGCATTTTAATGCTTCTTTTAGCCTATCAAGTTGAACCCAATAGATGCGGCGCTGCTACGTTGTTCATTCAAAATACTGCGGAAAAAGAGAACATCAATGCGGAGAAACTGAAAACTGAAACCAAGCCGTTCACACAGAACGCATATTTATGGCTATATTTCTAGAGGGACATCTATCACCGTTGCACTCGCATCTCGCACAAGAGAGCCACATGTTTAGAAAGCCATGTAAAATTAATGTAAGTTCAACTTTTAAAAAACATGTCTCGAGACTTTATGCCGGTTTTTCCCCATCCCACTGCATCTCATGTTTTTAAACGAAAAAAGTACTCTTTGTGATTGGTTTTCGGATCTTTGTATCAAACTATACATACATACATGATGCTGTTTTGTTTCTGATTGTTTAAGCAACTTAATTAATTATATATGGTATTTTAAACATTATGCACTTTTTTCAAAGATAGTCGTGTTATTTTATTGCTTTGAATAAACATGCATTAGTAATGTTTTGCTCGATGCGCTCTCTTTTGGCCTCAGGAGAGAAGCCAAATGCTTTTTTTCACCCTAACTGAAATTATGCCTTTTAAATTAGAATATAATTTGAATATTGATAATATTTAAGTACAAAATTCGAATGCCGTTTTGACAGCCCTTGACATTTGACATTGGTGTGGACTCTTGATGCTCGTGCTCTGGTGTAACCCGCTCTCTTATGCAGGTGCAGCTCTGGCTTCATCAGCTGGCCCTCGAGTTACAGGAACGACTGAACAAAGACATGATAGGTGAGTCAAGATAAAAATTACTATCCAATCACAATTCGTTATTGATTAACTTGCAGTTAGTGAAGGCAGGATAGATAGGCGGAATCACGCGCTCTCTTGGACGCAATCCCAGTTCTATATATATAGAGATATATATTAACCAGAACACAGTGGGATCTGCATTTGCATTAATCTACCCCTGTAACATTCAACGCTATTGAACCACTTTTTGTGCAGTATGAGTAAAGGGGGAACAATAAGTGCTTGCAGGAGTCAGATTTGACTGATCATGGGTCGAGAGGAGGGATGACCTACAAGACAATTGTGGAGTTTTTGCTACTCAACAGATCCGGAGCTCACTGACAAATATCTTATATCGTAAGATGCGCTCCCTTTACTCAGAGTGCGCGTGATCGCGAAATCGAAAGTGAAAGTGAACAGCGCAAGCGCTCATTCAAAAGAGATTTAAATACTCCCCATTGATAGCGGCTCCCTGATACACGAAAATTATATGTAATATTAGAATGTTTGCGGGAGCGGGCGGGACTGGACAAACCTTGCAGGAGCGGAACACACACGTTGTCACTGTTTAAGTTCAGAGGTAAGAAGAGTGCTATCTAGCGGGATATAAACTCAAAACGAAACAATGGCCATGAATCTTGTATACATTTTTTTGAGAATCGATACAGTATCACCAAACAAAATATTGCGATACTCACGTGTATCGATATTTTCTTACACCCCTAGCGTACATTCCTGACAGACAGACGCTACTGTGATTTAGGTCAAAAACGCATAAATACTCAGTTAATATCAAACGATCTGTTTAACAGACAAAGCAAAAGTGATCACGTAATAAAAACAGTTACACTTGTGTGTTGTGACATTACTGTCGGATCCAATATAGTCACACAGCATTGTCTTTTAGTTTCGATCTTTCTGAAAACCCTGCGTCGAATTGTGCCTAGTTTGTAAACGAATCCACAGTAAAATGAAGTGAACAAAGGACCGAGTTCTTACTGACGCGGTCTGGAACTTAATTAAAAATAAAAAAGTTCATCCACTCTTTCCTAACGTTGGGATCAGAAGGAAGGCAACGCAAACACTGTTTTTCCACAGTTTGGCACTGAACAGCGTCTTGTCTTTGGAGCATCTTTATCGTTTGGTTTCTGTGTAAACCTGCATGTTCGCCTCTATCGTAAACACTACATGCATGAATCGGTGGGCAGGGCTAAAAAGGCAGGGATGTAGAATCGGTGGGCGGGGCTAAACAGGCAGTGATGTAGAAGCAGGCATTGATCATCTTCTGCGGAGGCGGTGCTTATCCACACTATTATATCATAGAGTAGAACTTTCCGCAAGCTGATGTTTTAGCACAGTGTTTCCCAAACTTTTTTTAGTCGCGGCACCCTTTAGAAATTTTAACAAACTTGTGGCACCCTACAAAATTAATTTTGTCACAATATTTGAATTTCTAACTTCGATATGATAATTTGTGGCACCCCGGTTGGGAAACACTGTTTTAGCAGACTGGCTTCAATATAAGCTGTTTTTAGACTAACTACAAAGTTTTGAGTTCTGAAACTTACAGGATGTTTTTATAGCACAATGGCCCCTTCATATGTCAAGAGATCAAGGGAATTTTGGTTTCTAACTTTATGACCCCTTTAAATTAAATGACATTACTAGGAAAAATGGGCACATTAAATTCTATTCAGATGTTTAAGGAGAGATTCCCAAGCCTTGTTTGTCAGCCAAACTACTTTAACCAGAAACATTTATTTGAAGTCCCTCTGAGATTGTAAATTAATATTTAATTTAACATCACTTTCATATGTTCATGGTTCTCTGATGTTGGTCAGTGGTCATGTGATGTCTAAACAAATAAAATCTTGTTTTAGTAATTTTTATTTGTTTTTATTTTAATATTTTTTTATTTTAAATTAGTATGCTTTAATCATTAGCCTTTCATCAACTTGCAGTTTCTTCACAAACCCTAAGACCTGAAGTGAATCAACTCGAGCTGAATAACAACACTATTGTCTTCCACAGAGCTGCTTATCGCTGAATTAAACTTGTGTCATAGTTGATGAACTTTACACAGTTTATTACTGTGAAACTGCTTTGAAACAATCTCTGTTGTATAAAGCGATATAAAATAAAGGTGACCTAGTTCGGGAAATACTGCTGTAAGGGAAGCAGACAGATTTTTCCTTCTAATCATAAAATGGATGAAAAAATCCCTTGGACTTTGAAGGAGGGACCCAAGCAGATCGTGACATGAGGGTTGAGCTCTTCTGACTTGAGCCGCTGAGCGCCCAGAACAGCCTGTGCTCATGATGGCAGCAGCGTTTGCTCCTGTCGTCTTCCATAATCTTGATGTTGTAACAGCAGTCAAGTGTAGGACTGGGCAGTACGACCAAAAATATGATCACAATCCATGTCACAAAATATTGATATTTATCATGATATTCAGGAAATGCTTTCAACACATTTGTTAGACATTGAAATTGAATGCAACGATAATTAGTTTGTTTGCAATTAAACTCCACAGAGCTACCTTTTAATTTAGCGACCAATGAAATCAGGTTTATTTTCCTCTAAATTTTGTTTTACGTTTTATTTATTGGATTCTGTGTTTCAAGATTCAATACAAATTTGTCACAAAAAAATGGTGTCTAGTTAAATGAGTTAATAAAGCTAATTTAATCAGTCTTTTAAAATGTAATGAAAATAATTAATTTACAACAAAACATTGCATTTTATTCTTTGTCAAACAAGATGCTGCACAACAGCACTGTATAAAATAATGAAGAAATACCTTGGTTGTATGATATTCCTTAAAAAATATTATTATTGTTATTATAACTTGAGAATTACATTTTAGTATACAATAGTAATATACTTCTGTCATAATTTCTTCAAGTTAAGCTGAACTTTTATTTTGACGGGTTGTCGTGAAGGTCTTTCAGTTTTACTTTCAGTTTCAGTGTGTATTTGACGTATTTTTTTTTCTTTCTCAAAGTCAACGGTGTAAAGTGACTCTCAGAGCAGCTCTGGAGATGAAGTTCTCATGTTGATGTCTCATTTATTGAGAAAAACCGCACCATTCGTTCACACAGAGGCACGCAGGACATGCAAGAGTTAGCCTATTATTGACATGCATTTTATCACGACTCAATTTGATATCGTTTTATCACCCAGCCCTAGTCGAGTGAGTTATTTCTGTAAGGCTTGATTATGTTTCTCTCTTAGGTCTCCTGCTTTGACTTGTCTTCATCTGTCAGCCAGTGAGTTCAGCGATGTTCCCTCATCCTCATCCGGAGGAATAGCAAGCTTCCTGTCCAGTGCACCTTCAACACAATCGCGTCTAGCCTCTACACAAACCCCCAAATATTTGGGCCTTTCGAATTTGAGCGTTTTATTTAAATAATAAATAAGTTGTTCAAGGGAATGCTGTTCAAAAGCCATTTTCTTCTACTAAACATGGAGACACTGATTAGACATGATTACGCAAAGTATTTATGAAAGCGGTCGTAACACAAATGACATTCTCTGCATACTCTACATTGTGATATTGTAGATGTTTGCAAGTGTATCAGTGTGTACTTTATCAGTTCCATAGTCACCTGTAATCGTGGTGCTTTGTCGATTTGTGCTACCCTTTCAGAATTTGCTACCTCCCATTAAAACAGTGGGTACAATTCGACAACGAAAAATGCTACCTGTCAAATTATGGTTTATTAACGTCCACAACCCTAAACCTACCCTTACAAGTAATGCAAATACAGTAATAATTGTTTTTCAGCGTGAGCAAAAGGATGCAATTCATCCTCTTGGTATAAGTGTGAGGACACTTTCAGCAAATGTTATTTTTTGGGGGGGTGAACCATTCCTCCTATAAAAGGCACTTGCAAGTTTTGTCATTATTTACTTCACATCACTAGAGGGCAACAAATCGTGACTGAAACGCTGCAAGCTTCCCAGCGTGAAACTGGGATGTCATGATGTCTTTTCTTTAAATGTTTTGTCATTTTGAACTACAGATCAAATTCAAGATCTTGATCTTCTTTGCAGTCACTTTGATAATATTTGCCGATGGGAAATTAATGTATTAAAGACATCAGTTTCATATGGAATGTGTTAATCCAAGCATATTTTGACCAATGCTGTACAGAATAAAGATGCTGCATGCTGTCTGTATTTCTTGAAGTATGGGCTGTGCTGTTTTCTCACAGCAGTATCACATACAGTGACAGATGGACAGTTGAGCTCAGAAGTATTGGCCCCCTTGGTAAATATAAGCAAAAAAATCTGTAAAAATAGATCTGCATTGTTTTTCATTTTTATCTTTTATAAAAAAACAAAACAAAACAAAAAAATCGAACTTTTCAATCAAGTAAAACAATTGAAAATGGGGTAGAAAAATCTTTAAAATAAATGTTTTTTATCAAATACGCATAGGCCAAAATTATTGGCACGCTTTTTGCAACCTCATTTTGCCATGATAACAGTTCTGAGTCTCTCTTATAATGCCTGATGAGTTTGGAGAACCCTGTTGTACCCTTAAAAGTCAAACTTTTGCAATTTTTTTCCCCCTGGCAGATTTATTAGCAACAATTTCAGAACATAACACAATCCATCTGAATTTTACATTTTTTAAATCAATTTAAATACATTTAATTGCACAAACTAGGCTAATTATAATAAATGTTACATGTACGCACAAAAGTTCAAAAGTTTGAGGTTGGTAAGATTTTTAATGTTTTTTTTTTTTAAAAAGAAGTCTCTTCTGCTCACAAAAGCTGAATTTATTTGAAAATGTACATTTTTATATTTTCAATGTAAAAATAGTGAAAAAAATATTGATTTTTAAATCAAAAGTAAAAACTAATATTGTGAAATATTAGTTTAAAGTAGCTTCATATGGAATGTGTTAATCCAAGCATATTTTGACCAATGCTGTACAGAATAAAGATGCTGCATGCTGTCTGTATTTCTTGAAGTATGGGCTGTGCTGTTTTCTCACAGCAGTATCACATACAGTGACAGATGGACAGTTGAGCTCAGAAGTATTGGCCCCCTTGGTAAATATAAGCAAAAAAATCTGTAAAAATAGATCTGCATTGTTTTTCATTTTTATCTTTTATAAAAAAACAAAACAAAACAAAAAAATCGAACTTTTCAATCAAGTAAAACAATTGAAAATGGGGTAGAAAAATCTTTAAAATAAATGTTTTTTATCAAATACGCATAGGCCAAAATTATTGGCACGCTTTTTGCAACCTCATTTTGCCATGATAACAGTTCTGAGTCTCTCTTATAATGCCTGATGAGTTTGGAGAACCCTGTTGTACCCTTAAAAGTCAAACTTTTGCAATTTTTTCCCCCCTGGCAGATTTATTAGCAACAATTTCAGAACATAACACAATCCATCTGAATTTTACATTTTTTAAATCAATTTAAATACATTTAATTGCACAAACTAGGCTAATTATAATAAATGTTACATGTACGCACAAAAGTTCGAAAGTTTGAGGTTGGTAAGATTTTTTATGTTTTTTTAAAAAGAAGTCTCTTCTGCTCACAAAAGCTGAATTTATTTGAAAATGTACATTTTTATATTTTCAATGTAAAAATAGTGAAAAAAATATTGATTTTTAAATCAAAAGTAAAAACTAATATTGTGAAATATTAGTTTAAAGTAGCTGTTTTCTATGTGAATGTATGTTAAACTGTAATTTATTTCTGTGATGCGCAGCTGTATTTTCAGCATCATTACTCCAGTCTTCAGTGTCACATGATCTTCAGAAATCATTCTAATATGCTGATTTGCTGCTCAAGAAACATTTCTGATTATTATTCTTTTTTTTTGTGGAAGCAATGTTACATTTTATTCAGAATTATTTGATGAACAAAGTTAATAGAACATTTATATGAAATAGATATTTTTTTGTAACAATGTAAAAGACTTTACTGTCACTTTTGATCAACTTAATGCATCCTTGTTGAAAAAACAAAAACAAATTCAAGATCTAAGTATGTAGCAGTCAAAGTGTTATGATACAGATGTAAATCATCAGCTGTCCTGTTTGAGTTGATCAGCTTTCATTTTAGCCCGAATCAACAGAAAACAGGCTGGAGCTTCTCTCCGATAGATCAGATACACTCGTCCTCTTTCTGCATTGCTCACCTATGGGGTACCTCAGGGGTCCCTCTTGGGGCCTATCTTATTTTGTTTGTATATGCTCCCCTTGGATTCGATCATGAGGAAATATAATATTTAACAGGCCTCTCTCATCTTTTTAAGTGGGAGAACTTGCACAATTGGTGGCTGACTAAATACTTTTTTTCCCCACTGTACATTCCTCTCAGTTTTGATCACTCTTATTCTGACATTTTTAATTGCTTTGAAGATATCAAAGGCTGGACTGGCAGAAACTTTCTCCAACTAAATGAGAACAAAACTGAGATTGTTGTCTTTGGACCCCCAGGTGCTGTCTCTGATATCACTATTAATCTAGATTCTATGTCATCAAACATTCATCCTTTTGCTAAAAACTTAGGTGTGATTTTTGACACTGATCTGAATTTTCAAAAACAGGTAAGTGCTGCGGTGAAGAGCAGCTTTTTTTCAACTAAGGCAAATAGGCAAATTAAAATCTATGCTCTCGTTTAAGGATTTGGAGATAGTTACTCACGCCTTCATCACTTCCAGACTTGATTATTGTAATGTGCTTTATATGGGTCTCAATCATTCATCGCTGAATCGCTTGCAGTTAGTCCAGAACGCAGCCGCGAGGTTGCTGACTGGTACTAAGAGGAGAGAAAGCATTTCTCCTGTCCTAGCATCTCTTCATTGGTTACCGGTGCAGCATAGGATCCATTTTAAGATTTTATTATTTGTGTATAAAGCATTAAATGATCTAGCCCCATCATACTTGTCTGAACTTCTCAGCTATCAGCAATCCTCTCGCTCTCTCAGATCCTCTGATACACTTTTCTTGCATATACGTCGCTCTTGCTTGAAATTGAAGGGGGATCGGGATTTTTCTGTAGCCGGTCCTCGACTATGGAACAGCATACCTCTGGACATTAGATCGGCGCTTTCCCTTCCAGTTTTTAAATCCCGCCTGAAAACTTATCTGTATTCCTTGGCTTTTGGATGAAATGTATGTTTGTGTATGTTAATGTGTTTTTGTATTGATTGTGTTTTTGAGTCATTTCTTTTTATTCTCTTATACTCTATATTTACTTTATTTGTATATGTACAGCACTTTGGCATACACTAGCTGTTTTTAAATGTGCTATATAAATAAACTGACCTTGACCTTGGATTGCAGCGTCTTGCATCATCAGTCAGGATACATCAGAGACCAGCTCAAATAATGAAATCACTGTCAGGAGTAAACTGTGATAAACTTTTATTTATGCACATCACAATATACAAACAAATTTGTACATAAATATTCCAGTTCACCCAAAAAATAAGGCTAAAATATTTTTAAAAATCTCAAAAAAAAAAAAAAAACATCTTGCATGTAAAGCCAGAAAAGTGACATTCGGTGTAAAATGAGACGCCACAAAAAACTGCATACGAAATCTAAGGAACTAAAACATCCAGAATTCTCTAACATTCTATATAAATTTACTCTCTCTTTTTTTTTTGGTTCAAATACATTTTTTTCTTCTAAAATTGCACACAGAACAGTGATATAGTAGAAACTTGAGTGTGAACGTGTCCTGATATGTGATTCAGTACTGAGACCAACATGCATGCGATGGTTACAGGACAGCGCTAGCTAACAAACCCCTGTTCAACATCTAAAAACAACCAATCAAGAGCGTTAGCACCAAACCAAGTGCTCAGTGTAGCACACTATACTAGTGACAGCAGCTTAGAGAGAAAATGAGACCGAGAGCAGGAATAAAGTCTGCTTTGCATAATCAGTGATGTGTGAACGTAATGCTTTCCTGAGCCACTAAAGCACTGCAGTGCAGGCAGAAACGCACGCTGGCGTCAGGTCAAGGCAGAGCCACTTCTGAAGCGTCAGAAGCAACGCAGGAACACTTGGTGACTTCTAGCAGAGATCTAAAGCCTGTGCTGTTAAAGCTTGAGAGTAAAAGCGCTAAAATAAATAAAAAGACATCAGAGAGGCGGCTTTCTGGCGTTTGGTACAGCAGAGAGATGATTTCACTCACAACCGGAGCTGCCATGAGATTCTTCATTGACATCGCTAATCAAAACAACAAAACTAGCTAAAGAAAA